AGCTGAATCCCAGACCTGCTTTTGAATTTTACCTGAAGTTTAATAACTGATGTTTTTGTCAGCTGGCTGGATGTTTGCTGTGCAGATTTTCTGTTTGTACTACTGTGAAAATATTTTTATTTGCAATGGTATTTCCATTGGGAGATGCTTTGTCTCCAGGGTAACTTCCCTGAGAGTGGTTTCAAAAGTTAGTCTGTGGAGAGTATTGTGTCTTGTTTTGCAATCTTCAAGTGCCCTTTCATAAAGTAAAGTAAAATACGTTACTCTCTTTCTGGTACTATTTTTGCCCTGACTTGGCACATTCTTATTGTTTGAAAAGTGGGCAAAGCCATGTAGGTGTACTCAAGGATTTGATAAAGACGATGTGGGCTTCACTGTAATTTAGTGATCAAGTGAGAAAATACTAGATGGGACATGGTGTATAGCAACATCATGGAAGTTGCTCTGTGACAGAGTGGAGAATGGCTGCTGGCAGGGGAGGAAGGAAAATAACCATTTTTATAGAATGAGACTGAAGTAGGATTGCTTGAACAGCCGGGATTGTTGAGCATGAAGATGATGAAAGAATGTTATGGAGGCAGAAGCAGGAGAAGGAGAGACAGAGACAGATCCTCAGCTAACATCACTGGGTATATTTAGGCGTGCTTCCTGAGTGCTTTCTGTATATAAACAGACGAGGTTCCAGGAGGCAGTGGTGAGGGGGAGCAGTATAACTCAATGATACTTGTACCACAAATAGTACATTGCAAAGAGCAAATTGTTTGACTTTATTAAACTGCAGCCTCCTGCAACAGATCAAGGGTCTAGTTTCTAAGCAAAATAATTGTAGCCTAAAGAAAACTTAACTGTGAAAAGCCTCACAGGCCCTAGATTCCTGTTTGGCTTGGCATAGAGCTGCATATACTTTTTAAACCTTAGACCATGAAGTAAATTTGCAAAGCATAAACTATTTTGGAGCCCCTCACCACAGTAACACATGGCTCGGCCTTGTTATCAGGAAAATACAAGACAAAAAATAACAGTAGGAGGATAATGTCGGGCGCACGGACTCGACAGTGCTTTGCAATTCTAGAGGGACTGGCAGGAGCTGGGCAGATGTGATCAGGGTTACGCAGAAGAAAGTCACCTGGTCTTGGTAGGCAGTGCCGAAGTTAACGCAGAAGCAGGAGCCCCTGGCTAAAGTGAAACAGGCCAGTGTAATGCAGAACCAGGAGATGTGCTTGTGAGACTGCTTGCCTCCATCCTCACCTACAGGCATTGGGTGTTACTTAAGGTCCTGTGTCCAAAGAGCAGTCTTGTGTACATTGAACGCCATGAACAAAATGATTACTCTGGAATGTGGTCAACTTAGGCTTGTCCAGTGCTCAACCTTGACACGTTAGTCTTGGTCACACCTAGTTTTTCAGCTCTGTGGTCTGTTCTAGTCCCTGTTCAGATTTTTTAAATTTTTTACTTATTTATTTATTTATTTTGGTAAGGAGAAAAGCATGGAAGCTATGAATGAAGGAAGTCCCCATAGGAGGGTCATCCTTGCTGCAGCAACCTCAATGTTACCTGTGCAAAGAGGAATGAATTAATGCATCTGCAAGAAAAAGGCTGACACTCTTAGCTGTTGCCAGCTACACATGGTATATGCCTGGGCAATATACTGGCTGGCATTTCTTTCCATGGGAAACCTGTCCTTGGCATCAGCTCCTTCCATGCAACTTGGTGAAAATCTCTGTCCTCTTTTCCCTTGGCTCCTTGCAGAGCAGATTTATGGTCCCACTTTCCTTTTACAAATAAAACTCTAAGTGCAAATCCAAGGGATAAATAACACAGTGCAGACATGCCTGCAGCAATATTCTCTGTATTTATCATTGCTGAAAGTCTGGGAGGAAAAGCTGGTGAAGGCAAGATATCTTATGTGAGAAAACTATTCTCATGCTTTCGTGCCAGTTCTGTAGGCTGAAGAGCAATCCCGTTGTGCTTTTCCCCAAATATCCTGCTGCAGCTTGGGCAAACTCCAGGTGCCTTGTCTGTGCAAAGGGGCTAAGATGCCCATCCTCCCTCGCAAGCTTGCTGTGTGGGAAGTACACCAGCTCCACCACAGCGCAGGAGGTCGCTCCTTCATAAGCATGCAGAATGGATGGGTGTTCATTAATAAACCTCAGCGTTTGCAGTGGGTAAGAAGTAGGCATGGAAAAGATGGTAGCATCAATGCTGCTCTGTCCATTTAGTATGTCTGAGTCTGCTGTTCTGATCACTTCCAACTTGACTGCAGTCTCATCTGACATTGCTTTTAGCAGGTAGTATGTAGCTAGGGCACTGGGCAAAGGTTTTTACAGGTGGCATTGCAGAGGCAGTGCACCTGCAGGGTTAGTGAGTGGGGCTTCTTCTGCCTGACTCAGCAGCAGCAAAATTGACACCTGGATCTCAAAATTGTAGCTCAAGATACACCTGGGACCACCCCCAATATTGTTTTTATCTTCTTTGTCTAGATTCTGGCTATAATTTTAAGAGACATTTGCTAAACTAAGCACAGGGGCAATAAGCCACCTCAGTGTGTGACGCATGTGGGTCAGAGATCAGGACTGCTTAATTGTCATCACCTACTGAGCCTGCACCTGTGGCCCTGCCAGGACACCTCGATAATGCTGAAGCCCTTGCTCAGAGGGCAGGTAATCGTGAGCTTGGGTAGTGTCATGTCCTGCAGAGTGGAGAAACTGCAAGGAGATGGGAGGACCTGCCTCCCACTGCCTGAACTTCACAACAATGTGATGTGTTGGAACCAGCTCAGGCTCTTCTAGAAAGGGTGGGGTTTGTTTCATTTTGTTTTGTTTTGTCCTGGGGTTGGAGAGCTATTTTATTGTCTTTGGGTCAGTGTTTTTGACCTCCTCTTCTTCATTGGTTGAGTTTTTTCCAGGTAGAAGAGAGAGTTTCCACTACACACCTGTAACAGTGGCATCCAGCCAGCAGTCTTGCCTTGTCAGTGCCCTGGCTTTCCTGATGGGCTGCAGCTCCAGCCAGACTTACTGCTCCCAGCTGCAGATCATGCATGAAAGGGGAATCTGTGACTGTCCCTGGCCATCTGAAATAGTCCTGCCATGGACAGCATGCCTCAGCTGGGGTAAATTTAGGCTCAGTCACTCTGAGGAGTTGTTCACTTTAAATTCTGCCCTGCAGCCACATGTTTCCAGATGTGCAACTTGCTGGGAATTATGACCTGTCCTGACAGGCTCAACGCATGGAGATTTTTGACTGTTGTGTTTCATACACCCCTTGTGCTTTAATATAGTGCACTTGGCATAGGCTGAGTTACAGAGTCTTGAAGGGAGTGGTTAGTGAGGCAACTGAAAAGACTGCTCACAAAACAGCTTTGGCGTAGTCTGCAATTGAAAAAGGATCCCCAGACAGACCGAGGTGAAGGAGACCCAGGTGCCAGGAGTGGTTCAGCCACCACGCTCACTGAAATCTAATCTCCTTGCTGTGGAAGCCAGTAAGAGGCCTGTGAAAGCTATAACTTCACTGATTTTTCCATCATTAGCTATGACCTCCCTTCTGGCCACTTACTCCAGTCTCAAAGGATGGAACTCTTTCTGGAGAAAAGACCCATCTCTCTGTTCCCTGAGAGGAAATTAGTCTGTAGCATTGCTTGTGTTGTACTTTGTTTATAAAAGTGGAAACACCACTTGAATTTCTCTGTAGGCTCTGCAGGGAAATAATGTTTCCATATTGCATTATGAGAAATGCAGTGGAAGTGTGCTATGCTCAGTTAATTTTTTTTAATGTATGGAGGCAAAAGAAACTTGAGTTCAGAATGAGTATATGCTTCTCTCTTTCTATTCAACATCCATAGTGCTATAAATACAAACTGCAGGGTACTTTCAGAACTGCAGGCCTTTAAGATCTCTCAAGGGAAAACATCACACCAAATTAATCTGCCGTCAAGTGGAAATTCTATATTGTTTGCATTTGCCAATGTTCTGTATGTGGCTGTAATTGCACTGAAGCAAATATCTGCTTCGAGTTCTTCGCAAGATTAAATGTGGCCAATTGGGCGTAAAAGAGTAATCAAAATGCAGAGCTGCTGCTTTGGATTTGTTAGAGGCATTGCTCATTTTCGCTCTGATACGATGACACTGAGTTCTGGCTTCCCATTAAAATGGGGAAATTTGAGGAATGTGATTTGGAGTGCCGAGTTGCAGGCCAAGAGGAGGACATTTCTGTCTGGCACTGCTGCCGCCCTGCAGTGCACCAGTGGGCAGCATGCCCTGAGTGTGCCCCTTGCCTTACGTGTGCAGGGGGCCACCTTCCTTCCCTCTGACCAGCAGTGAGGCTGCCGATAGCCATGCCCCAGGGTGCAGTGCCTGGCTGGGAGCTCCAGTACTGACTCCTGTGGCTTTCATGGTCTTTTTAAGTTCTGAGTGTTTGTCATAGATTTGTAGTTAAAACGACTTGTGAAGGTCCCAGCAAGAGCCTCTCTGCCTTGCAGTAGAGAGAGAGCAGGGTTAGATCCTGACTGGTGTCACAATGTCAGGCTAAAGGAGCATGTCAGCTTCAAAACCTGAAGTCTCACCCTATGCCACCTGGATGTGAAATGTTGAAGATTTGCTTGAAAACCTCATGCTTTCTTTTTCTTTTTACTAGTTTAGCCATTTTCCCTCTTGCCATATAAATGCAATTACAAGCAAGTAAAAAGTCTTTTCAAATGGACTGTGCTGCCTTTTAATTCTGCTTGAAAACCCTACTGCTCCCTATGCCCTACCCAACAGGTAGTTAAATAAACAGGCCCAGGTGGGCAAAACTGCCAGTTTCAATCCTTCTTTATTTCACTTTCTTTCCAATTAGTGGGCTTATCCAAAAAATTCATACTGAACTCCTACCAGCTTGCTCATACTCAGCCATTTCCCAAGGAGTTTTTTAGTGCAGTTACAGAGCAGTCCTGGCAGCATCCTTGCACTGTCTTCAGTGAGGGCAGCGTCTCTCCATCTGGTGCCAGTAGACATGCCCCCTTGGTACTAGCAGGCCTCTGCTCCTCTGCCTTTCCCACTTCCTAACTGGAGGTCCAACTCCTGAAGCTGCTTGAGGAAGCCGAAGTTGGGGCAGATCCCTCTGTGTGCGCGCACAGTCTGAATGGCTTCAGTGAGGGACATATCTTCACAGATCATTAAGAAAGCAAGGACTAGAGTTGCAGATCGACTGATTCCCATTGCACAGTGAACTAGTACTTTGCCTGGAAAAAGGAGAGAGACATGCAATTATGCCAGGAGGCCAAATGGTGGAGGTTTTTGTGCTGGACCAGAGATAGAAGTGGTGCTGATAACAGAGCTGAGCAAGCAGGCGTACTCAGCCCCACAGAGCAGACCTGGTGTGGTGCTCATTGGGGAACAGTGGGGTTTTTAATGGCTGGGCATAGAAAATTCGTAATTGTATTCCAGGATCCATGATTGCTTGTTTGGGCTTAGCCATCGGCCTGATGGCTTGCTCTTAGCCCTCCTGCCCAGCCTGCTGTCCATCCATGGTGTCCCTGCTTCCTCACATGTGCTTCTGGGAGTGATGTACTTGCTGGCAAAGCTTCAAGTCTTCGTACTTGAACATACTTGAAGGCCATGCTACGGGAAGCAGCCTTGGCAGGTTACTTACTATGAGAGGGCCTGGAAACTTGGGATTCTAAATGTGCAATGCTCAGGAGCGCTCGCTGCTATTACAGGAACACTCTTGGTTTTCCACAATGTCTTTTTTCTTCTTTGCTTAGGGCAGTAATGCTTTCTGAGCGTGGCGACCGCAGCTTGTTGGAAGTGCGTGGGAAAATGGGTGTTGCCAGTAAGAACAGCTCTGGTTTGTATATGCCCTGTGCATACTTACGCTTTTTTTTTATTTCTGTATCATACCCTGTACATCTATAGTCACTATCCTTCCCTTCTGTATTAGACGATCGCTAGAAAAACAATTTGTGAAATGTTTTGAGTTCCCTAGAGATTTTAGTGTGAGGTGTGCAACATCATTAAGAGTAATATCATGAGTCCTTCGATATTGCTGTAAGCAAGCCTCAGAGAAGCCCTTCCAGGGATCCAGGAGTACAGCTTCCTCCTTCCCTCTCCTCTGCTTTTGGTTTTCCTGCTGTGATCACCAACAGAAGCAGCCTGAGGAACGCAGTTGTTACCATGACTGCTTCCCAGGTTTCTAATGTGTGTCTTTGACCCATGCTGGGAGGAGGTAAACATTTTTTTTAATATGGCCTTATGTGTAATTAAAGGAAATTTTCTCAAAAGGATTGCTTTCAGATGGGGAAACTTCAGGTTTGTAGTCTTTTCCCTTTGGATGTAAACAAAGTGCTCATTTTGGAACCTAAAAACCTGCATCTTGTAAATATTGCAAAATGCTTCAACTTTCACAAAAATGCTATGATTCAATGAGACATTTTTAGTTGAAAATAAAAAAAAAAAGCTGCTGTTCTACTCAATTATAGCCATGCCTGAAAATTTTCAAACACTCTTGTCCTTTGCTGCAGTCAGATCTAGTCTTTTCACAGAGACCATGGCTCAGCAATTGGGTGTCATTAAAGTAACCAGTGATTAGAATCAGATTTGGACTTCTGACCACCTAATAGACAACTCTGTCTCCCATTAAGACAGCTGAAAAAAAAATATTGTCTTTTTTAGCATGAAAATTTCAGAATGTTTCTTCACTGGAAATCGTCACAAGTTTGAAACAAAATATTTTCTGTGGTATTTTCAATTTTTTTTGAACTTTCACAATTGTAGTCTCTTGTATAGCTGTAAGATATGCAATTTAACAACAATAAAATTTATATCCAGACAAAGATGAAAATCAGTAAAAACAATCCCATGTTGCTTTTTTTCCTTTGGAGATGAAATAAAGTATCTCAGATGCTGCTTCTCTGCAAAATGTAAGGAGCGTTAGAAGAACAGACAGCTTTTCGGGGCTAGTTCTTTGTTTTGTTTGTGCTTACAGCATCTTAATTTCTCTATTGCCAGGGAGCAAGACAAAAATATCCTTGTTGGATGATGAGCCTAGATCCAGCGAAAAACCTCAGACTGATTGCCCGCATCTCCCTGGGTGTTAATTCTGGCTACTTTGTGCGCAGATTTTCATCTTAAATCCCATTTTGTTTGTGACAGAGAATTTATTTAGCAACTGTTCCAGTTCTGACTAATGATGATGGCATAGGCACATGCTCGGAGAGCGCGAGCATGTGTTGTAAAAACCTGCTCTGGCCAGCAGGTTGAGAGAAGTGTTGAATTCCACAATGAATGTGACACAGCCACCTTTCATTATCCTGGCATGAGAAATCTGAGCTCAGCCCTAAAGATAGACGTCTTCAGTAGAAATAAAGGGACAAATATAGGCTCCAAGGAAGTGGCACAAACAGCTCTGGTGACAGCAGACTTGGACTGGGCTTTGAAACCTGTAGGGGAAGGAAGAGGCTTTTCCAATGTAATGTCAAGTTTTGCAAAATCAGATGATCAAGTGATTTCTATTTGTGTTTTCCCATTCAGATACAGCTTCACAGAATTTACTGAGATACTGATGCCATTATTCGAGTTAAATTACATCTATCTGTTGATTACATTAACTCCATAGGGGTTCTTGGAAGTGAAGTCCTACTTTTTATGGGAATATGGAGAAATGCTTTGCATCCCTGCTAGAAGTCAATGCTAATTTGAATTTTCTCTAGACCTTTTTTTTTCCCAGTGTGCTGCACTATTATTAGCCTTCACACCAACCTTGTGGGATATGTGTGCTGTATTATTTTCCCCAGATGAGGCACTTTAGACCCAAATAACCCAGGTATAAGGCTTTCAAAGGACCATAAAGGAGTCAGGAGCACAATTTTTCTTTGAGAAATACTGCAAATAGGGCTAAGTCCAAAAAGTCCTTGGAAAATCCATGTTTCAGTAGTTTGCAGTAGGCCTAACTGCAACGTAGTGGCAGGGACTAGGGAAATCCAGGTACTCATCCTAATGCACACCCTAGATAACAGAAGCCAAGGAACATGTTCCAAAAACTTTATTGGAATCAGAAGTGCTTTCTTCTTTTTGTCTGAAAACTTCTAAGCTACCAGCACTCTACAGCTAAAAGAAAAAGAAATTATATTTATGGTTTGAATTGTATCAGAAAGGAGAAAAAAACAACCAAACCCAACAGCAAAAATACCATCCAAAAAAAGATGGCCTTTATGTTGGATGTGATCTTGAATCACTAAATATTTTGAAATTCAATGTAGATTTTTCTGGAAATTGGATGTGGGACAGGAGACTTGCTGTTCTGAACCTAATTTCTGTAAAATTGTTCTGGGGTCCTTTTTTTTTTTGTTTGTTGGTTTTTCCACCCAGATGCCTTGGAAAATGCTCAACCCCACCTGCAATCTGGAACTGAAGATTGAGCTGAGCACAGATATGGATGCTGCCATTAAATATTGTGTGATGTTTTTGTTGGGGCACAGAAAGCAGAACAAATTCCAAACTCTAGCTTGTACAGGCTGGTGATCTACCGTTTCATATCTAACTCTGTGCCTGAGAGGAGGAACTGGCAAGTAAGAACACACTGGGTTTGCTTCTCTGGCTTCTCTGCACTAGAGACCTCCTAGATCAGCAACTCACTTTAGAAAGTGTCTCAACAAAAACCTGGACAAGCCCCAACTATTGACCTCGGACCTAATCTGCATGGCTCTCTAATATACTTATTTCCATGAGGATGCAGGTATATTATCTCTTTTATGTGTGCAATATCTGTTCCACATTGTTAGCTTTTGTTTCACCACACACAGAGGTTATGATAAATGCTGGTACACTGACAATAAAATGACTGTTTGTTGCAGATAAATCATGTGAAATTATTTAATTAACGTAAAATTGCTCTAATGAAAGAACATTTGAATTTACTGTGTGATTATTTGTAGCAAACAAACTGAATGTTAAACTTGAGTCAGGAAACAAAAGCTGTGTTGCTATTTGGTTCTGTTTACAGGCTCAGACCCTTGTCTCTTAGCAGTAGCTGTAAATGGGTTAAGTGGCACTCTGAACCCACCATAATATACTGCATCTGAATAGTGCCTGAAACATGTTTGCACCATGTGGGCTGACTGCAGTGGTCTTGATAACAGCATGTTGCATCAACCTCTCACAGGAGGCAGCTGAGATGCACCCATCCCAGCACTGAGGCCCAGATTCCCAGGTGGCTGTGAGACCATGGCCTGGGAAAGCAGCGTTCACAATGGCAATCCTGGTGCATGCCTCTGTCATGGGATGGGCAGGGAGGTTATATCCAGATCTTTTGCACCACAGAATCCATGCCACAAGATGACATCCTCCAACTCTGTCTTCCCTGCCCCCATTTGTTTTAACACACAGTACAAAGAGAAGTTGGACTGATCCTACATTAGAGGGCCATGTTGCAACCTTCTCTCTGAGCGTGTAACAGGATCCCTTAGGGATAATGGGATTAAGTGAGGAGAAGTGGGGGCACTTAGCTTCTGGCGTTATTAAATCTTGCAATCCTTATTTGAAATGTTGCACCGCACATCTCAAGCTACTTTTTGCAGAGGCAGACAATAACTGTCATCTGGCTGGGATTTGTGCAGAACAATAACACTTGGTTTTTAACAACGGATTATGGATATTATATCCAGCTCATGCCTGCTGTAACTCTACTGACATCAAAGGGTTTGCACTAGGCATAAAGTTTGCACATTCAACTTTGTTGGCCAGATTCAAGTTGGGAAATTCAATGTTGTTGAACAAATCAGTCATTAAAACACATAATATCTTATTGTCCTTTTGCTACTCATCATTAACTGAGCTAAATGTCCTGAACTAGCCCTTGCTTTCTTGCAGAATGGATTCAGTTTGGCTTAAGACCAGGCTCCAGATCCATCACCCGGAGTGAACGCCCCAGCTGCCTTCGCTCCATTGAATCCAGCAGAATTATGCTGCTCACCAGGAGGAGGGCTCAGCTGGGCCAGTGGGCCCCAGGGGCTCTTCCCACTCCACCATGGTTTGCTCGTCTCCTGTTATGATTCAGCCACTGTGCTGTAGCCAGGTGTGGAGTCAGCTGTCTGTTTCTTGATTAATTGAGTGTCTTTTTTGTCACAGCTGAAAATAGCAAGAATCCTATAGAGAGCTTTAAATGGTGGCGTGTCCCTTCTTCCCACGCCTCCCGGCACAGGTAAGGGCTGTCATCTGCTGGAGAGTGGGAGGTGAAACTGATGTGTGTAATGCACCTACGAGAGAGTCAGGACAGAGAACACTTTTCTCCTAAGTGAAGCTACTCCCATAACCACCACAAAGAAGAAGGAGGCAGGAGTGAGAGCCTAGCTTTTCATTTGCTCCGGTGAAGTGGAAGAAGGGAAATGCCTTTGAGAGGGTTTGCCATTTCAGGAAGTTAATAGGTGATTTTTAACCTGCCTGTTTTAAACATGTTCAGAGGTCAATAAAAGAAGCTCTCTGCTTGGGAATCTTTCTCTCTGCACAGTGTTACTTGAATAGTTTTCATGGCATGCTTTCATCTATGTTCTCAAGTTCTCTTCCCCTCCTTCTACTGCTAGCCTTTACCAAACCCTGCTGATTTATGCTTAAGTTTAGCTGCACTCCAGAAAAATGTAAATTGTACAGATAGCTATGTAAAGGCAAGATAGATACTCCAGGTGTTGCCCCTTGAGCATGAGGGAGAAGGCCAGTACTTCCCCGACACCATGTTTTTCCTTGCATAAAAGGGGGCAGATTGTGTATCTGCTTGCTCTTGGCTGAGCCTTACCAAACACCTTGGTTACATGGGCAAAGAACAGCAGAGCTGTGCTGAAGGAAAGGCAGCCAAAGAAGCAGGGTTCATAAAATGTTTATATGACATGGCTGCAATGGTAGTGCATGCATTTCTTTACCTGTATGACAAAGATGATGAAGTCATTCAGGGTGTGATGCAGCCATTGACCACTGTGACAGGAATAGCTCTCAGTTAGGAACATGGAAGTGCATGCTACCTTGCTTCCTTTTGCTTACATTCTGGCATCTGGATTTGAAGAAATTGCCTTAAAAATAAATTCCTTATATTACCAAATACATATTCTGTTCAGCTAAGGTAGAAATCTGGAATAAATCTGTCCATGCTGTTTTCTGCACTTCTAGTATAAAGCATCAGAATTTTTCTTAAAGCACAATGGGAATAACAGTTCTTACTTAATTCTTATAAGTATTGATTCATAATTTTAAGTATGTTTGTGCCTCATATAGTCTTAACTTTGACTTATCCTCCCAGGTGAAAAAGATAATTTAATTCCATTAAAAAAAAGATGTTGAATTTGCTTGTAATAGTTAAGCTTGTAATAAGTTAAGTCCTAAATAACTACTCAATCAAACAGAAGTACCTCATTACATCGTGAATTTAATATAAACAGGCCTCTTGTCACCTGGTATAACTTTTTGTTAGCATCACTGCTTATAATAAATGCCTTTTTTTTTTTCTCTTCTACTAAATGATGTGAGAAACAATCCCCTCCCAGTCTCATCCCTGCACAGGTAATAGGTATCAATTTTTGTATCTCAGGAAATTATGCTTCCAGAACATCTTGTTTATATATTTTCTAAACTGCTGCACTTTCCTTAAAATGATGAATGTCAGCAACAGCTGGGCTGTATATGATTGAATTTCACCTTGTCTCCATTCCCAGAACCTTGCTTCCATATGGAGTTCAGTAAAGCATGGGAGTAGGGATAAATATGCACTCTAGACGTGATGAGTTCATTGTGTTTGCCTTGAGCCCTAACTTGGTTTGCACTCATAACTTTCAGTATTTGGACATGCATCTTGCAAAACACTGGTTTTGTTTGCTTTTGTGGCCACCACAATTTATCTGTTGTTTTCAGTCTTTTGTCAATTGATTTGGAACTTTTTTCTACACACGCATGAAAAGATTTTGGATCTTACCTTCCTCTGGAGCACCACCAATAATTACTTAAATTGCAAATAGCATACGCTGTAATAGAAATGGGTTCCAATTCCCCAAATATGTTAGCAGTTTTGAAATCCAAATGCAGCCCTCAATTGCACAAAGGCAAATACTTTCTAATGGGGTGGATCAAGCCCTCCAAACAGCAGTAAACACTGAGATACCTAGCGCAGAGGTCCACTGTATTCAGTTACTGTACCTCCCTTTCCTAGCTTGCATGGTATGGATCAGATCTATGAGCTGCACATCATTTAAGCTGGGTAGTGACTATTTTAAGACCCTCAGTGATATTAAAGCTCACCATGATGCAAGCAAAACAGTTTGCTGAGGGTATAACAGTTCTCATAATAAATCAGTTATTTTTGAATGGGGATCTGTACAGTATTGTGACACAGTGGAGTTGCTTTTATGAAGGTATGTTCTTAATAGTAATGGTCCCCCACTAGCCCCAGGCCTCTGGCATTGTACCTGGCCTGTGTTTAGTGAGTCCAAGAATTTTGGGGGTTATCTTATTATTTCAAGGTTATACACCTTCTAGCAAAAGCATGAGATTACCTCCTAGCTGGTGGTGTTGCTTAGGTTCTCTTCTACAGAATTGCTTCCCAGCAAGTTCCTTCCTCTCCCGTGTCTGTAGGACTTGCACAGATTGTAACATTATAGTTGATTCTTCTTCCTCAAATATGATGCTTGGCCTTGTCTTTTTACCCCATCTCAGCTTTTATTTTAAACTTTGTCACTAATTTGAACAGATCAAATGCATGTGCCTCCTCCCAGGTCAGTGTCTCCCTATAGGTAATAAAAGGATACTTGCTATTTTATCTGTTGCTAATGGATGGCACTAGGCACAGGGAAAACCTCTTTGAAGGCCTGTTCAGTGCATTCCTCCCTGTTTCAGGGGAATTCCCACTCACTGTAGGACTTCAGGAGGCAGGTGTGATGCTACTTGGTTTGAGTATCTCTGTTCTCACCCACATCTGCAGGTGGTTGGTTTATGCCAAATACTATTTGATAACTTGCCCTACTTGGCTCCTATACAGAAGGTATGCAAGATGCACAGATGGTCTTGTTACCTCTTGGGGAATTCAGTGCTGCTCTTATGTATCGAGCGACTGGGTAGAAGTAAATGCTGAGATCAAAGTTTGGGTTGTCCTCTGCTTCTACTCCATAGTAATCCACAGGCAGGTCTTTGTAGAAGTTGCGTCCAGTGTCGATGTGAAATCGCCCTGCAGCAGCATTCACAACATGAGAGATGCCCATTTGGCTCAGCTGTGTTTTGTCACGAGCAACATACCTGGAAGAAGGACAGTGGGTTATATTTGCCTGCTGCATTACAATGTAGGGTAGAACGTGCTGCTGATGGTGCAGTTTGATAAAACTGCATGAAGTTGTAGTGACTGTTTTCTGACAGTTTGATCAGGTCTAAAGTGCCCACCAAAATGCTTTAAGAACAAAGTGAGTCATTGGAAAACTGACTTTAGCATTCTCTGCATTATTCTTCCAAACACTAGATTAAGTGGTTCTTCTCAACTAATGAAAAATAAAAGGGTGGTGGTGGTGATATTTCTGCACAACCTGAGTTTTCTGAGTTTTCGCATTCTCACCAAGTCACCTCTGCTGAGCATCCATCATTCAGGGGACTGATGCCGTCTGGCAATGTGAGGAGAAAACAAAGTTGATCCTGTTTTACCTAACTCTGGTATGACTGCCTGCAGTACCAATGCCATGGCCCCACCGGCCCTTGCAGTGTGGGACTCCCATACTAATGCAGAGGGAGAAATCAGGAGGGGGAATATTCTTTTTGGATACTTAGGATGCCTTTTTTTTTTTCTGTGCTTACAGCATCCTATGCACAGTTCAGCCTTGCTCAACACTTAGACTTACTGTGAGGGATCCCCAAATTAGTGCCTAGCTCTCTTTCTTAAAGAGTGGAAGATTTTGGAGGGAAGTAGGGCAGGGGCTAAGAGTTGCATTAATGCCTTCAACCCTTCCCTCACTCTTACAGGTCTCCCACGTAAAGGTTTGGCCAGACTTCATCCACATGCCCCGTGGGACGTGCGTGTGTGCAGAGCAGGCGCCGCAGCTCCTCCAGGGACGGTGTTCCCGCACTGCGCTGACTGGCAGGCGTCTGGCTTGAGGCACTTCTTATCTTGGGGCGCAGCAAGTCCCCGCTGCACAGGGAGTCCCAGGCCATCCTGAAGGGTGGAAGGCAGACATTCACCACCAGCCAGAGACATTTTGGAGGTCGCCATCCCCCATATCCCCCCCTCGCAAAGCTTGCTCACAGTTATAGCAGTAATCTTTTTGGGGCAGATACTGTTGTCCTCTTGTGTGTTTATATGCTTAGCAGAGGCCATGACTGGACTTGGTAATGCTGTTGCAGCCTAAACAATGACAGTCCAGTGGCTCACATAGTCCTATGTTGTGGTTCAAACAATGACTTCAAAGCCTATGCTTCTAAAATAAAGTTTTACGTTATTATGGCAAATTGGAAGCAAAAGCCTTAGCAAACTACTAGGCTCAGGGTCTCAGTATGCTTATTTTAACCTGAGTGCTCAACCCTCTTTCTAGATATGTCAAAGAGTTGATTAAAACGTCATTATTATATTTTTTAAAGATTTTTTTAGTAGGAAATGGGAAAATTCATGCTGCTATCTGGAATTCTAGATGCTGTTATTACCGCAGTGAAAACAGCCCAGTCCTTGATATGCCAGCATGACAGTGCTGCTTTTGAATGGAAAGAGGTAATGCTATGGAAAATGTATTGTGTAAATGTAGCTACTCAGTGGGTATAGAAACAAGTTGCTAATTTGGTATGCTGTGCTTTTCCTTTAACAGTGTAACTAGGACTTCCTTATACCTACTCTATCTGATTTGTCTTTTATAATTTGCTCAACAAACTGAGCTGAACTGAATAGAATTGGTCATGCAACATCTTATTTACTGGTTTGCTCTTAATTGTCAGCTTCAACTGGGGAAGCTCTGTAAGGAGTATTTTGATTCTTTCCAATGGTAGTTAGCAGCCACAGTTGTTGTCCTCATGACAAATGCCCATGGTAGAAAAAATCTGCATGAGTAAGTTATAGTGATTCCAGAGGCTATTCATGTGATCATTAATATATATACATTTTTAAAATAGGTTTTTCCATTTGCATTCCTCTCCTCTCTGCCCCATCTAAGAGCTACCATATTTCTAATTGTCAAGTAAGTACTTCATTTACAAGAAGAAACACTTTTTAGGTATCAGTTTATCTCTGGAATTGCTCAGTTCCCATGTGGTATGTTTCTTTTGAAATAGTGGCTCTTTGTGTTAGCTATAGATTTGAGCTGTTGGGAGGACTTTTTTAAGAGAGGAATAGAAATTCTATTTTTATCAGAGTTCTGTTTTAAGAAAATATTAAAAATACAATTTCCACACCCCCCCCCATGTTCTAAAAATTAGTCAAGCATCTGCATTGCAGAGAATTTAGGAAGTCTGTCAACTCCTGAAGCTTTAGAACAGAAGCGTCAGTCTTGGACATGGATGACGTTGTAGTCAATGAGTCAAAGTCTTGCTCTGGCTCTGCCTACTGAATGTCTTTTGCATAAATGACTGGAGAGTTGGTTTGAGATAGAACAGTCCAGGACAGCAAACCTGAAACCTTCAATCTTTCTACTGGACATCTCTATCATTGACAAATAGGTTGTATTCATGTTCAAGTACCTCCATCGACAATTTCCTTCCAAGCACTAACTGAGGTGAAAGGTTTTCCTAGTTTCCTATCAAGGTACTTTCACTGCCCTAAGTTCTCATTTTGGCGTACTTTTGTTTAAAGATATTTGCCTTTGCATGCGCAAAGACAGAGAGACAGTCTGAAGACTAGCCTGCTTTGGGAGTTTGTTGCACCTTTTATATTAATCCATTGTTTTGCTGAAGAGAAATGGACCAACTAAGTCCCTGTGAAGCGTCCACAGAAATGAGGGAAGCAGTGACTGTTGTGTCAGTGTTAGGCCACTGAACATTGACTAGAAGCCACCTTTCTGTGATGCAGTTTGGGTGATTTGCCTTGCCACCTAGCTGCTAAGAGGGACCCTCTGTTATTTCGGTACACCTTCTTCTGCCATCTTCACAGGCAGCCGTGTCCTCTTGAATCCAGTAAGTTTTCACCAAATAGTCATGTTCCCAGGATGGTCTTGTATTGTTTGTATTACAAAGAGCTCCACTGTGGAATGTGCTCCCCTCCCAAATGTGCGTATCTCCTCCAGTGTCAGCTTTTACTGTGAAAACAAAAGCAGATGTTCTTGCCCATTTTGAATGACTTTATGCAAAAGGAGGCATGGGGCAATTTCCATGCTGGAACAGACATTCCCTATAGATTTCGACAGCTTCTTTGACACTGGCCACCCCAGCGCCTTGTGCGCCAGGTCTGCCTGGCTCCCATTGGTGATCTTGGACATGGACTCTCTGATCCCATGCAGGATGTCTGCGACAGAAGTGGGACTTGTGTTTCCTGTGTCCTGACCACAGGGCCATCTGCCAGTTCATTAAATACTTTCAAGAATAACAGCCTCCTCCAGTCCTTCCCACCTCATAATATCTGCAGCAAATGTTCCCGTTTTTTGATGTATCTCATTCCTTGCAGTGTGGCTAATGACCACTCTAGGGCACTTCTCACTCCCTATAAAGTTGCTTTCAACTATTCTGTTGGGTTTTTTTTCTTATTTAGTGCTGCCTGTTATCCCTTCCTCTTGCCCTCTCCACTACATAAATACTTTGACTTTCATATTACCTAGCCTCAGAGGACTGAAGGCTACTGTCAGTCTTGCTTTCTTAAGCATCACAGAAGCGGAGAATTACAGGGCACTGCCAGAAATTCCTGGTAATGCTGTGGCGTTCAGGCTGCTGTTAAGATGGAGAGGGACAGGCAGAAACTCACTCGCACAACCCTTCTGGGAGCTGTGCTTTCCAGGTCCATAACTCCATCCCTGCAACAGCTGGGTGGGTAACTCTGAAGTATAGCACACCTTAGGAAAAGTGGGGGGGGTTTTGGGGGGCGTTTCGTTTTGGGTTTTTTTTGTTGGTCTTTTTTTTTATGTTGTCTCTCTAGAAGGGAACATACCTGCATAGACTTTGCAAAAGAAGGTAGTATGTTCTATGTGGGTATCAAAAGTTGTGGAATAATGGTCATTATAAGATGGGTGTGCTTCTTCAGAATTACCTTAAGGTGACTTTCAGCTTGTGCTCACATTGATCTTGTATTGTAGCTAAGAATTTACTTCTGTTGAAACACAGGCATGAACTTTTGAGGCTGTGTACAAAACTTACTCCATCTGGATTCTGGTCACATTTTTTCTACAGCATCAATTCATGTAAACTCTATATCCAATAAAAAGGAAGGACTGGGGATCAAATTTCAAATGTGAAATAGTTTGAACTAACAGGCTGTGAATGAGTCAAAAGCAGAGAAGTCTCTGTAGGACTATTCAACTAATATGTTGAATAATGAATACACTGGAAAAAAAATAATAGCTTTCCATAGAAAATTTACAGACAGGAAAACAAGGCAATTTTTTTCTGAATAAATGACTGCTCAGTTCTAGCGTCAGTCTAACATTTTAACTCACTAAATTTATACATGCAAATGTCACTTACTGAAATACATACATTTAAAGAAAACCATGCTATGATTAAAATTTTGTATGATGTTTTATAGGGAGCATGAATAGATTAAAACAAATTAGTGTGAAGGGAAAATGATTATATGTAATAGTGTAGTTGTTTTTCATTTTAAAAGCATGTTTTTAATGATTCTCAGCTCAATTTCCCTGTATTAGCTTTTTTTAGTAGATCTGTTTCTGTGATGTGTGTCATATGAATGAACAACACAATTTTAAAATGCTGATTCTGAATGGTATTCATATGAAGTGTTCCTGATCTTTGCCCTACTGGAGTTGTATTGCAGTAATTATTCAATCACGTAGCAGAAATTTTACCATTATATTTAGATTAATTTTGGATTGGTTTGTACTACAACTGTAATTGTATCTGAACTGTGTAATAGAATTTTCTTAATTATGACTAGCAGAAGAATTGCAATCGGAGGCCTGTCACAGAGCAGAAGATCATTCTGATGATCTGGAATGACTTAAGGTATGACACAGGCCGTCACCACGCCATGCCTGCATCTGTAGCTACCTTCCTGGAAACCCATCAGTGGCTTTGCTGCAGTTGGGCTATGAGAGTGGCCACGCCAGTGGTTCCTTATACATGGGCTATCTCATAGTGGTCCTGTGAGAGTGTCCCCTTCCTGACTGCTTAGGTTTCCTCTCTTCCTAGCAGTGAATGACCCTGCAGACTGCATGTACTGTAGATGCTTTGGTTGTTTTTCTGTTAATTGAGTGACTACAGCTTTGTCCATAACTGTAGAGCAACAGGGCTGTGCTGAGGAGAGGGCCTTTAGAGACAGGTATCCCTTGAGAGGTATCTCAATCCATAGAAACATGTGTCACCTTTTATCCAGTTTCTCCAACACTCTATAGTATTTCATTAAATAAGAACAAACTCAAAAGTCAGCATAATTTGATGATTTGGCATTACATTGGCATGAGATCAAGCTGAGAGTATACTGTGAGAGGGGGCGACACAAAGCCCTGCACAAAAATGATGCTGTGGAAAGTCAGGAGGAAAAGCCAACTCTTGTGTCTAGGCTATTTAGTAGAAAGCCTTCATATCCTCTGCTTTTCCTTGCATTTTACAATGCCAAGATAAAGGAGGGATTTGAGTATAATATAAGGATGTCAATGCTCTCATTTCAATGATGTATTGAATAGTTAATCACTCCAAGCATTGTATTGGCTTTTGTGTATGGGTAGAGCATAGCCCTTTTCCTCTGACTTTAGTGAAAATATTTCTGAAATTTTAGATCCTGAGAACAAAGTGCTCTACATCCTGCTTTATCTCAAGCTGGTATGTCCTGTAACCTTGTCATCTCAGTGAAGATATCAGTCTGACTGCACTTCAAATAGACTGATTTGTGGTGGTAAAAGATCAGGCTGAAGCCCAGGGCTTGGCCAAAGTAGGTCGTGACAAGTTCATGGCTATCCTGTATTCAAAAGTCATAAACATTTCTCAGAAAGCTTATCCCTTGGAAAGATTCCTCCAAGATAACATAGGTTTGAGAGATGGTTTTGTGTTGCTGTATCCACACAAATGAC